ATGCGTCTTGTTTGTTTTCATTTACTAGCAGTAGTATTTTATAAACCATAGAAGCAAATTTCACATACATGAACAAATAATGTTAATGCCATGACAACAAGAAGACAAGGCATAAACACCAACGGCCTGGACACAGCTCACCTACTCTGTCAAAAGGAGACCGATGTACAAATAAAACGCGTATTATTATACTGACCATTTATTATTTTCACCGACCATTTAATATTATACTGACCATTTATTATTTTTACTGACCATTTATTATTTTTACTGACCATTTATTATTTTTACTGACCATTTATTATTTTTACTGACCATTTATTATTTTTACTGACCATTTATTATTTTTACTTACCATTTATTATTTTTACTGACCATTTATTATTTTTACTGACCATTTATTATTTTTACTGACCATTTATTATTTTTACCAACCATTTATTATTATACTGACCATTTAATATTTTCACCGACCATTTAATATTATACTGACCATTTATTATTTTCCCTGACCATTTATTATCTTACTGACTAACTGAAATAAAATAATGAAAAAGTGTACTTGCCATAAAATTTAAATAATGATCATTTAATTTGTGCCGTTAATTTATTATTTTTTTTTAAGTAATGATTGCCTACTTATCTACTTACATATTTTTTCTGAACCGTAATCAAAATAGTACAAAATAAATAGCGAAAAGATTAACTGTAGGGGTTATTATGATAAATAAAATGTATTTGAAATAAATAAACAACAATCGTCGTGTTTTTCAATTTTTATATTTTTCCAAAATTAAAAAATTAAAAAAAGGTTGCTTCCATCGAGAATTGAACCATCCCTTATGCTACATAAAAATAATGTAGTTATTTTAAAATTATTTTAATAATTTGTTAAAAATAAATATTTAGGACCTAGGTATAAAAGTTAATGGTAACAATTTAATCATCAAATCGATTTTACTATTAATATGGACATTACATACTCTATCAAAGTATAAATTATACGTCTCACATATTTGACAGCTGTTGCGGAAAGTAGATTCATATTCACACACGGGTGGCAAGTAGATTCTTATCCACACGCTTATGATGTATGACACTTCCGATAAGACTAACTAGTGCAATGTGTGTCACTTTCCTAAGTGGTCGTACGAAAAATATACCTACTATATTATTTTCATATTGGAAAGAATACTGCATTTACAAGATATTATTTTTATTTATTTTTTGGCGATTACTTTCCAAAGTAGGCTTTTGTATAATAATATATCCATAGGGGCTAAAGGATATATTTATGCAGTCATATTTTATTTTATAGATATAATTTGGATTTGTCCCATTAACCATGACCATCTCTCTTAATTTTAAGTTAATTTGATGACGTTTAATTTAGATATGTTTCTGCCTAGTAAGTTTTTAGTCGAGATGTATCCCTAAGTATTTTATTTCTTCATTATTTGAGTGTTGTTTAGGTAGACCGGTGAGCATACGTTTGGTAGTGAAAGTGACTTGGCCTGATTTCAACTCGTTCATTTTTAATTTTCTATTTAGCTAGCCAGTTCTCTAGAATGACCAAGTGATGTAGATTTTGTGAAGCGAGTATTGGATTGCTGTTTATTTATAAAAAGACGGTATCAACCAAATGTTGCTATAGACGTGGTATTTGTTACTGGCAAATCTGAGGTGTAAATTAATAATAGTGGACCTAGTACACTCTCTTGATGTACTCCTGATTTAATTTATTGTTAGTTGGAAAAACTGGGGTTATATTTTTTTTGGAAGTAATGTTCTGATAGGTATGATTTTAGTAAATGGTAAGGGGGACAATCATTTTGTACCTACTAGGAATTATTTTTCATTAGTCATTCAATGTTCTGTACTGTAGGTTTAATCCTAGTTAATGTTAAGCGTCGGATCTTCAACAATATCCGTATTTAACGTGACCAAATTCATTACTTTGGCAAAAATAACAATAATAATTTCAGTAGTAACCTTAAAAAATGTCACTGATGTATTTGATAAAACTGGTACTTAAGTTGTCATAAAGTCACTAAATTTGTTGTTTTACCAGATCACGTGGGATGCGGGTATTGTTGATTACTCTGTACATTACACACAGTTCAAAGTGTTTTTAATCCTTTTCAATCTTCATTTCATTGTGAACAAGTGAACATTCATTTTTTAATCCTCTTTTGAAATAGAATAAAATTACATTTCGAAAATGAATCATCTCTTGAAATAGTGTAGTGTTACATTTCGAAAATATTCATTATTGAACTCCAATTATTATCAGGCAGGTGTCAAATTCAAATTACTCAAATGCCACAATAAATTGTTGATTCATTATTCCTATGGAGTATTCCTTTTGTTAAACTCGCAAACGTTGACGTCAAAATGTCATAATAAAATTTTTGTGTTCTCAACAAACAAATCTTTTTTTAGCCTACGTTACTACGTATGTAACTACATTAAAAGAATATAAAATTATTTTCGTATTACTTATTTGTTTGAATAATCAAAATACGCCTACATATTTGATTACAATTACATTAATTACCTACATTCCAAAAGGAAACGTTTGTATAAATATTGAAAATTATAAAAAAATTTGAAATGCGAAATTGGCGACAAAAAAATTTGAATAAATAAAAACGTGTTTATTTGCTCTTGAAAATGTGTTATTCTCAATGTTAATGAAAATATTTGTTTTGGAAAAGCGGAAATACTATGAGATTTGCTATTTACTGATTAATTTTATTTATTTAGCCTTTAACTCGTTTTTAAAAAATGTTTACCCAGGAAATGCAATTTCCTTGAATTGTTTTTATAGGATGTGGGCGCAAATATTTTAACAGGTAGAGATACTAATTTTATTTTGAAATTACTGCAAAATTAATACCATGTGTCAGAGGCGGCTCGTGGCCTAGTCTACGAGGAGGATGGCACACCCTATATACTTAATACAAATATATATTTCTATTAGAATACAATGTAATACTTCTACTTTTTGTATTCTAATAGAAATATACACTGGCGAGCAAAAAATTAAGGTCACTTCAGAAATTGCGAATAATTTTAGCGTTTAAGGACATAATAGTATTAGAAAAAAATGCATTTCTGTTTAGTATAGAGTATCACATTCAGCTTACAAAAGCACATGAATGATGTACAGTTTACGAATACGATCTAAAAACGTAAAATTTCAAAGAACATGAAAATTTTAAGGTGACCTCAATTTTTGCTCGCCAGTGTATATTTATATTAAGTATATAGGGTGTGACTTTCAATAGTAGCCTCCTCGTAAACAGGCCACGAGACGCCTCTGCCATGTATATTTTTTTATGTAAACGTCGCGCGTCATTTTAGCGCACATATATTTCTAATTGTAGTATGGTTCAAGAAACAGACTAACCTTTAGCCTGATTATTAGGCCACAGAGGACATAAGGGCAACGAACAGACTGATTTACTAGTCCAAGAAGGAGTCTCAAAGGCTCTTATTGGCCTAGAACTCTTTTGTGGTGTCACACAGACAACTATCAGAACATGAAGAAAGATTAAAAAAATCTCAGGAATGGTGGAAAAATTTACCAGGGCAAAGAGTTCTTAAGTACTATCGCCTAAACTCACCGAGTATCTATTAAACCTTAATAGGAAAAATACTAGAGTACTAGTAGGTCTAGGTCTATTAACAGGATATTATAGAATTAACAAACATATGTATAATATCGGTCTGACAGAAGAGACCTTGTGCCGATTCTCTCAGGAAGAGGAGAAACTGCAGAACACGTATTGTGCTACTGCGACTGAGATTCCTTCCACTTGGAGAACAAAAACCAAGGGCAACTAGCTACGCCGGAGAACGACTTCCTTGTCTAGGGAGTCTACTACAAAAGACCCAATTTGACAAGGTACTCTAAATAATGATTAAAGGATAACCACAATAGATCTGAAAAGGTCGACGTGAAGAGACCACATGGTCCACAGTCCTAATTAAATCTAATCTAATACTTCAAGAAATCTTTATAGTGTAGATAGTGTATGAGAGTTCAGACCCATATTGTACATGTATCCAGTGTTAGTAAGATAAAACCTTCAGTCCTGCTTTGCTTGTGTTGAAAAGTAAAATGACGCTGACACATGTAGGAAAAGATACGACGGTATCAATGTTGTCAGTAACAGATCGAAAGAATTGAGCAGTAGAAGAACCGATAAATGGAACAATGTCTTGGGGCTGAGACATGCTAAAATACTTCTGGTGTGGTGAATATAACTAGAAAATATCGGAAGCCTGCATCTGCCTGAGCAAGAGCAGGCTACGTATTGTAACAGGAATCCTAACTGGGCATTGCCGAATAAAAGGATACCTTAGTAAACTGAGAGTAGTAGAAGATAGTGAGTGTAGATTCTGTGAGGGGGAGGACGGAACCTTCATTTACATTCTAATAGAATGTGTAGCACTCCAGAATCCAAGGCACTATACCTAAGAGCACATCAAATAGAAGAGGAAGATTTACCTAACTTGAAGCCACTCCAAATCCTACACTTCCTTGAGAAGATAGGATTAGAAGGGTCGTTATAGGCATTGAGACATTTCCTTGCTGCATTAGCGACATAAGGGGGTACAATAGATCTTTTAAGTCGCAGTGTATTAACACCCCATTCCCAACATACAGGTCGAATCAGCGGTCGGTAGCGGTAACTGGCAACATAGATACAACATCCTTTCCTCTTCTGTACATGCGAGCACGTACTATTCACTCCAAAACAAGCAAAGTATGACCGAAAGTTTTATTGTCAGTACTGTATATGGTAAAAAAAATAAGGCTTTACATGGATCATATTCTCATATTAAAACAAAGGACATGTATATACACATATATCATCGTGCTATCAAAGTTGATATGACAATAGACAATGCAACGTACAATGTATTATATGAATAATGATTAACTGATAACACCTGCCAGTGTAATTTATTGTTTCTTTTATTATTTATAGTCACGAGGAGAGTCAGAAAATGCCGAATCGCCAAGACCACTTTCAGAAACGAGCGAAATGAGTTTGGAGGTTGGTACTCTCAATAGGAAAAGAAAACCAATAAGTGACAAACAACGACCTTTAACGAGGTACCTTCCAATAAGAGGATCTGATTTGGACCTACGACAACATATTGAATCTGCAGGTAAACAATCTTGATTAATTGAATATTTATTTAGTCAGTAAAATAAAAACATTTTTTACTTGTCAACTCGTTTATTTTATTCTAAACTCTCCGACTGTATCAAAATTTCAGTATTCCTATAAACTCCCTTCAGATGACAGCCCGACCCTCTTTTTTTTTAAATAGCAAGAGAGTTCATAGTGTAGCATTTTTTTATTTTAAAAATTATTTATTTATAATTTATTTACATACACTGAACACTAATTTATTTATTTCTACTTAAATACTTAGCTCATTTATATTTCATACTTATAACTTAATTTATATAACAAATCGAATGTCTATCTTCAAATTCGGCCTGTAAACTTAACTAAGTACGGCAAAAGAATCCACTTATATACAAAAATGTAGCAGTCTAGAAAAATCCATTCCTGTCTCAAAGAATCTCGATGCTTGTACACGTTTGCGAAATTTTTCCTCCACGCGTCGGCCTGCGTACAAAGAACATTCCAGTAAGTTCTCGAGTCGGGCAGCGAAAGTTAGACATGGAGACGAGCTGCTGAACGGCGTAAATAAAGATCAGGACTGGTCGCAGGCACGGTCGCACGACAATAGGAGTACCGAAACTTTGATACCGTCGGTTACTCCGATAAGTTAAAAAATCGACGTGTTCAAGCATTTTTATCTACTCTTTAAAATAAAGGAGTTGACAAGGGGTGATAAATCTTAATCTTCTCCTTGTATTCGAAAAGTATAATCCAGGGAAAATTTGTTTTTCTATATTTACAATAAATTTTTGTCATTTTTTAGGTCATCAAGTTGTGCTATGTCCACATGTCATCATAAACTCCAGTATATGCAGGGGTTACCTTCACAAAAAAGGCTCAAAATTAAATGGATGGTCTAGAAGATGGTTCGTGTTTGACAGGAATAAGCATACTTTTGCTTATTACTTGGACAAAAGTGAGAAAAAAGCGCGGGGTGGAGCCTATTTTCAGGTAATATATTTTTCATTTAAAATTTGTATAGTGCAATATTTAAATGATAGAAACTACTTCAGGGAAAATTTAACAGCTCAATAGTAGACAAATTAAACTTATAAAAACGATCTCCTTTGCCAAAAATAACTCTTTAGAAAAATTTTTATATGAGTAAATGTTTTCAATCGTTTCTGGTCTAATTTAGTCATGAATGAGAATTCAGTTCAATTGTTGACAATGTTTAGACCCACACGAAAAGTCTTAGTTTTATACCTCTTGCTTATTGTGTTCTACCTTCCTGGTACAATCAGCTAATCAAAATATACTTTATTGTCAGAGAAAAGCAATTCTATTGACAAAGCACTAAAATATAAATGAATAAATAAATAAATAAATCTAGAATAAAATGTTAAGAAATAAAATTAATATTAAAATATGCAATACTGGGTGCATCATAATGTTGACATATAAAATTAAAAATACAATGTAAAAGAGTAAGAGGTACACTACAATAAATAATACAATAACATTTTACTAACTAGTAGCCAAAACTGTCATTATAGAACTCCTATAGGTTATAGTAAGCTCTTTCAAGCAGTAGTTCTTTTAACTAATTTCGAACGAGACCTAATAATTTTTAAAGAATTGGATAGGTGATTAAATATTTTTGGATTTTCGATCAAGTTATTATTTTGCAGAGTATTGTATTGTCTTAGTTCAGATGTTATACCTAAATTATTTTTATGAATTAAGCTCAGTACCTCTAATATGAATAGGCTAATCAGTGTTTATATTTTGAGTTCAATAAATAGAGGTTTGCAGTGATCGATATAACCAGCTTTGGCTAATAATCTCACAGCCCTCTTTTAAAGAACAAAAACTGAGTCCAGAAGATACTGCAAGCTATTTCCCCAAAACATAATTCTATATCTCAAATGGGATTCTATTAAAGCGTAATGAACTATTTTTGCGGTCAAAGTGCCCAGTTTCTTAGTTACTGCCTGGACTGCAAAACAACTCGAAGCTAATTTCTTGTTAAGGTTTTTGATGTGTTCATCAAACTTTAAATGATTGTCATGTAAAGGCCAAGAAATTTGAAGCATTACACATAATCAATGATCTGTTTGTTTGTTTAGAACAAGATCATTAAAAGCAAATTCAAATGAAACTACATTTGTTTTTTTGGTGTTAAAGCTCAAGCAGTTATAGTCTTTAATTGTTTTGAGATCACATGAAATCTAGTTTTTAAGATCTTCAGCATCTTTTCCATTCCAAAGAACTGTGGTATCATCAGCAAATATTGCAAAGTTTCCAGATATTTTAAATTTTGTTAATTCGTTAATATATAACAAGAAAAGTCCTAAAACAAATCCTTGTAGAACTGCATGTATTTTAATTTGGAGCTTTTCGAAATTCTACCTGCCATCTTTAAAACTTGTGTTCGATTTGATAAGTAACTTTTTAACGAAGTTGGTGTTGAATTTTGGAAACATTACATGAACAATTTTTCCAAAAGTATGCTAATTATGTCCAACACAAAGGCTTTTGAAAAATCGCAAGACAGCTGCTTACATATCCCCTTTGTTTAAGCTAATGTAAGCTTTTTCCAAAAGAGAAAATATAGCATCCATGGTTTTCTTTGATGCTTGGAACCCGAACTGATAAGTAGATATTATATATTATGTTCAGTAACAAATTTATTAATGCGAGTCTTCAAAAGCTTTTCTTTGAATTTGGATAAAGTAGAAAGTAAATGCCTAACGAAAAAAGCAGGCCCAAATTCGTCTCCGTCAAACTCTCAAAGTTGATGAAAATTTGTGTGGCCTCTAGCTCTAGACATCCCAACAAACATTTTGTTTTGATAAGTAACGGCCTTTAAACTTATGTATGCTACTTCAAGTAGTGACCTTTCGGTGGGGGTCTGCAATTGGTAAGTCGACTTTTTATCACAACGGGCAGCATATGGCCGTTGTCACTTTACCAGTAATTGCTAGTAAAAGGCCTGCAGTTTCCCATAATATTAATATTAACTATCCTTCGGCTTCAATGGACTTGCATAAGGTTCGTAACTTTACCAGGCATTAGTAGTGAAAGGACTGCCTGTACATGGCCAGCAGTTTTCCAATATTAACTTCCCATCAAAGGGCTTGCATAAGGCTCTTATAAAAAGTATGCCGAGCTTTTAAAGGGAATGTACCACAGTACCACGTGTATCTTCTACAAAAACTATATATTATTTAAAATATTCTAAATTAACAACATGTAAAAGTAAGAAATTACAATAAATAGTGAATACCAGCTATACGAGACTGGCCGCATAATACAAGTCCACTCGTTACGTAGGTAATAAAGGATCAGCGTTGTCTCCATCTATAAACGCGGGACGGGGCCCTCCTGGACTGTTAGGGTTAGGTCTGTGACAGTTAAAAGCCTTTTGACTTTTACCATGCTTTTACAGTTGAATCTAGGAGACAGTTAAAAAACCGTCAAAGGCCCATCAAATAATTAAAGTTAAAAGGCACTTAATTACAAATTTCAAACGAGCCATAATGATTTCATAGTTGCATGTGGAAAACTGTTAAAAAGCCGTCAACGGTTCATCAAAATATTACAGTTAATGGGCAGTTAATTACAAATTTAAAAAGGGCCATAACGAGTTTACTGTTACGAGTTACTTTTCCATCACATTCGTTAAAGGGCCAACAAGGTACCACAATTTCAATGTTTGTTGGAATAATTAACAGCTGAAATAACCTATTAAAAATGTAATGTACAAATTGTATAAAAAAATCCATTATCGCCTATTGTGTTTAAAAACGAAGAGCTAAATATTTTTGTCTGAATCCAAACAGAATAGAAGTAGAATAGAAATAATTTATTAATCTATAAGGAATTTACATATCCACGAAACATGACTTACTTAAAACTTGTTAGACCGTAAGAATGGCCCGTCAGGTGTTGTGATTATGGATCATATTGTTTTTTACTGCATTTCTTCGTTTTGTTTTAATGTAAGTTGATATGGTGTGTATGTATTGACAAGGTAAATTTTAGATAGGCAGTGAAGCGAAAAAAGTTTTACATGAATCCCTTGGGGACAATCCTATAATACACCGAATTGCCTTTTTTTGTGTAATGAACACCTTGTTCATGTGGGCTGAACTTCCTCAACAGTCAAGGTCGAAGCATATGAGAGACAGAACAAAACTAAAGTTGGTCAGTCTAATTACGCTAAGTGAGACTGTTTCTCAAAGCCGTTGTATTACGAAACATAAACCACACATGTTATTTATTAAATTTTGTGTGTGTATATCCCACGTTTTGGGGCTGAAATGCAATAAAATCTGTCTTTTTGTATTAATGAGCAAACCATTATTGGTAATCTATAATGAAATGAAAATTCTTCAGCTGCCACATTAGCTTTATTGATAGATAGCTGCAATTATTTTTCAGCTATAGTCTCGCTTTTATCATCTGCATAGATGAAAATTTTTCAGATGTTTTGCATTATGTCCGACAAATATAATAAAAACTGGGGAGCCAGAGTGGATCCTTGCGGGACACCCACTGATATTGTGGCAGCTTTTGATTTTATTGACTATTACTACACTTGAGATCTATTTAGCAGATATGAATAGCCCATTCATGGGTAACTCCACTGACTCCGATTCGGTACAGTTTTTCCAAAAGTAGCTCATGGTCAACTATATGCTTGAGTGCGGTCAAAAAACAGAGTGATTTTTTACTAATAAAACACGAATATATGGTTTCACATAATTGATTTATTGCCGCATTAGTTGATCTGTTCCGCCTATTTAATATTTGGTGGTGATGTTCAGCAGATTTGCTTAGCTTTACTTAGTAAGCGTAATCCAGGATCTTAACAAACATATTTCTGTATGTTGCGAACCTTTATTTTTAAATAGATTTCGATGTTTTTGAGTTTTCAGGTAATGTGCCTTGGAAAAGGGACATTAATTAAAAATGATATACACACATTGAGTCATTTACGATTTTTAAGGATTTGCCATTAATTTCATCCAAACCTGGTGGTTTTTTAGTGGCGTTTCTAATGATTTCTTCAACTTCTGTAGGTGTAGTTTGATATAAAAATAAGCTGGCTTCTGAGAATACCGAGAGCTTAAATTGATCTACATTAGGGATCGGTTTATTAATATCCATAAAGGAGTTATTAAAATTACAAGAATATTTTTGTGACTGATATTTTTAGTTACTGAACTGTTAGTTCAGTATTTGCCCCATTTTTTGTTTTATTAGTGTTTTCATTCAGAATTCTCCAGCTTTCCTTACTTATATTTGTTGCTTTCAAAATTCTACTGTTATTCTGATTTAGATTTTTTTACTAAATTAATGTAATATGTTTTAATTCATTATATTTGACTTTAAGTACCTCATTGTTAGTAGAACAAGCAAGTTTACATTTTTCACATACCATTTCATGTAATTTAACAAACATGTTATATACAAAAAAGTATTGCATATAATATAAATATTGGTTGTGTTGATTTCTATGTCACATAGTGTATAATTATAAAATAAATATACCTTTTATTTTTTTGCAGGCAATTGAAGAAGTTTATTTGGACCACTTAAATAGCGTGAAGTCTCCCAATCCCCAACTAACTTTTATTGTAAAGACTCACGAACGCCTTTACTACTTAATGGCACCATCTCCTGAAGCGATGCGAATATGGGTAGACGTCATTTTCACAGGTGCTGAAGGGTACCGAGAATTCGAAGCCGGTACTTGATTTTTATTTGGAAACATTTAAGGTGCAAATTTTAGAAATGTTTCATATTTATATATGTGCATTTGTCATTGATGAAAAGATCTTATGTAAAAATATTTTTTATAATGAAGTGTCTAGTTTTTATATCAATTTTGTAAATAGAATTGTTTATGTATTGTGATAAGTTAGATTTTCTCTATACACAAATCGAATTGGATTACACTTATTTATGGTGGTTACCGTAATAACCGGAATATTTTTTAATAAACCATTTTTAATCTAATGTAAGTGCCTTTCACTAGAAACACTATTACGTATAAGAAATTTTTAATGTGTTTTATACTAAGAAGACTGTAAACTCAATCATTATTATTATTACTATTGTGTTAACAAGTATTAAAAAATATATTAATATATAATTTTTAAGATGTTTCATTTCACTAGGGATGGCCTTTCGGAGCAGCATTTCAAAACAGGTTTTTACTTGAAACAGGTACATGAAGATATATCAAGTAGTTCCGTTGGAATAGTTTTCTCAGTGTTGCCGCACCGACATCTGTCATTGTCGCTATTTTTGTTCGCCTAAAGTCGCTATTTTGTCGCTACATAATTGATCTGGTTCGGGTTCTTCAAAAATACATTGATAACTATCAGAGAACTAGTTGACCAGTGGACAGTTTAATAGTTGTACGCGACGAATAATTTGGAAATCAACTGTTCCACTTCCCAGACAGCACACCAAATCCTTTGGATATCTACTGAACATCCCAATATCCACTGAATGTCCAGTCCATGGTAGATATCTATTTTATATCCATGAAATGTAATTTATAGACATGCAAATGTCCATAAATAATAGTAATTATATAGCAAATTATTAAAAAATTACGCCATTGTGCTCGCCATGGTGGCTAATAGTACCGTTCAGATATTCAAAATTAATTTTTTTAAGGTGTATTCAATATCCCATGAACATCCACTAAATATATCAAAGTCTAGGTGCGAACGCAAACCATCGTGGATATCCACTAGATGTTATTTGATTCTGCTTACTAAGTATAGATGGGGCGATATTACTATCGCATCTACTCATGCTCGACCCGCCGTAATTGAGTTCGATCGAAATGTTTGTCCTAATCACTCCATTAGAGACTGGAGTCGAGAATTTTCATTTATTGCTGAAGAGTCCTAATAAGGATGACTTTCTCCTTTGTGGGCAAAATCAAAGGCAGAGTGTTGAAAATATTTTTTATCTCTGCTATTTTCTTTCGACGTTATTTAATAATCATTGGTTACTTATGAACCTCTACTAAAGATACCCATAAAATATTTTGCTGAATATCCGAATATCTTCTATATCCTGGGATATAGACGGACATTTGGTTGGATATCCATATTGGATATATTGAATATCCACAAAATATATTCTGTGGATATCTATGGGATTTCTTGTATTTTCTGGAAGATACCCATTAGATATTTTGCTGAATATCCATTAGGATATCTTCTATATTCTGGATATAGACGGACATTTGGATATCCATATTAGATCTACGGAATATTTCTGATATCCTGTGGATATATTGGATATCCACAAAAGATATTCTGTGGATATCTCTGGGATTTGGTGTGCTATCTGGGTTGTTCTCGGACGGTTTGTATCGAGTTTTAAAGAAACCCGAACAAACCTTATGATTGATGAAATATGCAATTAAACATACACTAACGTATGTGTTGTATTGCGTAAAAAACTAAAAATAAACATTTTTTAAAGAATTTATAAACTAAAAATTTAAATAACATCAATAAATAAAAAAAATATTCAGCTTGAGTCTCAATCTAATTTGTGAACAGATTCAGTAGTTCTGTATAAACTGGTTGAATCATTCTTCATTTTGTTTAAATATGTGTGTCGGTAAAATTATAAAATTGATTTGTTGGAATGCTCAATAAATACAGAATTAGTTTTTTAGCAGACAACTGATTTATTCCTCAGATAACCATCAGCAGGCCGTTGCAACCACATCATGGCGTCAATTGAAATCATCTATATAACTAATAGTGTTTTGTTATTTTATTACACTGGTACTTAACATATTAAGGACCAAAAAGTCGCTATTTTTGCCTAATTTAGACTAAATCGTCGCTACTCTCACAAACCATTAAAATGTCGCTATTTTCGCGACAAGTCGCTACGAACGGCAACACTGAGTTTTCTTAATGTAATAACAGTGGGGTTAAAGAAAACGAGAACTGGGTTTTTATTATCATTTTGTGTTGTATTTGCTGCATTGTGCTTTTAAAAATTACCCAGATTTCACACCAAATCCCAGAGATATCCACAGAATATCTTTTGTGGATATCCAATATATCCACAGGATATCAGAAATATTCCGTAGATCTAATATGGGTATCCAAATGTCCGTCTATATCCAGAATATAGAAGATATCCTAATGGATATTCAGCAAAATATCTAATGGGTATCTTCCAGAAAATACAAGAAATCCCAGAGATATCCACAGAATATATTTTGTGGATATTCAATATATCCAATATGGATATCCAACCAAATGTCCGTCTATATCCCAGGATATAGAAGATATTCGGATATTCAGCAAAATATTTTATGGGTATCTTTAGTAGAGGTTCATAAGTAACCAATGATTATTAAATAACGTCGAAAGAAAATAGCAGAGATAAAAAATATTTTCAACACTCTGCCTTTGATTTTGCCCACAAAGGAGAAAGTCATCCTTATTAGGACTCTTCAGCAATAAATGAAAATTCTCGACTCCAGTCTCTAATGGAGTGATTAGGACAAAAATTTCGATCGAACTCAATTACGGCGGGTCGAGCATGAGTAGATGCGATAGTAATATCGCCATCTATACTTAGTAAGCAGAATCAAATAACATCTAGTGGATATCCACGATGGTTTGCGTTCGCACTTAGACTTTGATATATTTAGTGGATGTTCATGGGATATTGAATACACCTTAAAAAAAATTAATTTTGAATATCTGAACGGTACTATTAGCCACCATGGCGAGCACAATGGCGCAATTTTTTAATAATTTGCTATATAATTACTATTATTTATGGACATTTGCATGTCTATAAATTACATTTCATGGATATAAAATAGATATCTACCATGGACTGGACATTCAGTGGATATTGCGGGATGTTCAGTAGATATCCAAAGGATTTGGTGTGCTGTCTGGGTAGGCAGTCCAAATGACTAAATTGTGGACGCTTGGCAAAAACAGTGCTTCGTGACAAAATAAAACTTCCTAGTTAGGTTTAATTTTGTGTAATATGAAAAATGGCATAAATTAATTTTTATTAAGAATTTTAATAATTGGCTACTGCAGGATGAAAAGGGATAGGGTATAAGTAAATTTTACCTGGTATTGGTTAATGTTCATTTGAATAGATCATAATGATTTGTATGTTTACAGAAACCAGTAGAAGTCTTTCAAATAATATTTTGATATTTAACAAGCTGAAGAAACTGGGATGGGTTAAGTAAGGTATCAACTGACGCGTAGAAATCACCATAGTTACAACCATCTTGTCCTTAAAATTTTATATTTTCGAATTATACCCTTCTTACCCTGCAGTAGCAAATTATTATAATAAGATTTACAATAGACAGTCAAATACTAATGAAAAAGGCAGGTTATAACAAACTTTGTTATTTTTGACAAGCATCGGCCGTTTTTGTCCATTCTGACAGGACGTTGGATTGCGTAATCGCAAAACAGTTTGGAACTAGAGCAGAATTTTTTTTAGAACCAGAACAGTTTGTACCTGTTCCTACAAATACGCTGCTCTGTCCATCCTTGTATTTCACCTTTTATTATGGATTGTCCTGAATTAGAAATATTAGATGAACTAGAATCTGAAGCTATGAAGCTTGTAAATCAAAGATATGCTGTACAACTATATAATGATTATCATTCGGTTACAGTTTCTAAAAAGTCGATACTCAAAATTATCCATATAAATATTCGTAGCGCTCAAAAAAACTTTGAATATTTCCTAATTTTTCTTGAAACCTTCCAAATGAAAGACATAGATATAATAATCTTTGGTGAGACTAGAAATATTATCAACGATAACAATTATACAATTCCAGGTTTTCAGTCTTTTTTCAATAACAGAATAATAACCAAAATGATGGAGTCCTCCTTTTCATTAGGGACTACATAAACTTTACTGTAAAAAATATAGTTTTACCTATAAGTAATGTCACCATTTCTAACATCAACTTTAAATTATACAATGTTAACTACTCTGTTTCAGCTTGTTATAGAGCTCCCTCTATTAACGAAAATATATTCCTGTCAGACATTATCCAAATTTAATAAATTCTGATGCTCTAAAGCCAATCACTAATAAAGAAATCATTATGCATATTAATAGTTTAAAAACTAATAGTGCTCCAAGTGTTGATGGTATTTCAGCAAGAATAATAAAAAAAAATATTTGTTAGAACCTTTAGTTCACATTATAAATATTATTTTCACAACCGGTAAAGTACCAGCTCCATTTAAAACATCTATTGTCACACCTATTTTTTTAAAAAGGTAATAAAGCCGATATTACCAATAAGGGTCATTTCCAACTTTGCAAAAATTTTTGAAGAGTGTGAAAGAGACTTTTAGATTATCTAACTTCTAATAATATACTAAAGCATAATCAATTTGGTTTCATGCATGGGATTAGTACAGCAGATGCCATGTTTGAACTAGTAAATAACATAAAAAATGATCTTGATAATAATGAAAAAGTGATAAGTATCTTTCTTGAGTCCTTGGTGCAGTCTCTTTTGAGGTATGGTAATATCGTGTGGGGGGGGGGCTTTATGACAATGTACTGAAACAGTTGAATGTCGTACAAAATTATATACTATGCATAATCTTTTTCAAAAATAGACTTTACTCAACCCACAGTAACTGTATTTTTTGCTGTAAATCTAAAACCACAAATTGTATAAATCATCATTATGAAACAAGAAGTAAAACTAATAATAAGTTGATAGTTCCCTTTAGAAGATATTTATGACGCTAATCAAATATTTACTTGCATTTTGGCACCAAGATTATACAACTCGTTGCCCCAAGAAGTTAAATCAACTAGAAATTTTACGAAATTTGTTTTTCATTGTAAAGAATATATATACGGAAATAGTGAGTGCTTGGACACATTATTATTATAACATGCAATGTTTATTTGTTTTTCTATTTATTCATTTTGTCCTTTATAAATTGTACAGACTATAGTTGATTGAAGCATAACATATGGCGCATTAAGCATTAAATTTCAATTTTTTAAGCTATTGCATAGCTTTTATCGCGGGCTTTGAGCGCGGCGACCGAATCAAGAAATTTTATGATTCCGTAACGAAAAAAACCTA